TGCTGAAATCTGGAACCCCTACAAACACAGGTGGACTTATTGCCCTTCATGAGCGTGTCCACCTAGTAGAACGATAAAAAGTTTAGAGAACCGTTCTTCAACTGCTGATGTGATGTCTTGGAGGAACATCAAAGATAATGTCCCAGTTGATACAAAGACGATTGGAAATTGTTGGACAAAACCTAAGGCTACAAGATCTGTAACTGGTACTCCAAGAAGCAATTGCCTATGTAGTTCAAGACATCTGGAGATGGTGAAAATTTTTCAAGAAATGTTTGAGAAATACAACAAAGATGTGCTGACGTATTTGCAAAACTCCAGACCGCAGGTGTCTGCGGTGGTGGAGAACGAACTCGATATTGTCCTTTCTGGGATAATGACAGTTTTCCCGTTCATCACGTTGATAAGAAAGGCAACCATCTAACTGATTTTTTATTATATTCCTACATTTCTACTGAGACTCAGCCCAATGCATCGTCTATGGCTAATGGATGATAGAATAACCGTTGATATCATATTAAAAGAATCTCAGACGCATTTCAGGAAACCTTGCAAAAAACAAGTGTCGCTGTCTTCTTGGTGAAGACATAGAAACCCCTTACCCCTGCTATCACGGATTCTTGAAAAATCACCAACCACCAACACTGGAAGCATCAATGAATAGTGCTGATCACAGCGTATATATGTGCATACAAATATGTATGTGAACAAATAAAATTTAAAACAGCAACAACGTCGAATCTGTTACGCCGACGTTGAAGCTGCTTCGTTGAAGAATGATCACAGCTAAGCTGTCCCTTCTATAAATTCAAGTAAACGATTTCAGTCGCATTGAAGGAAAGCAAACACAAAAGTTTATGACGCACTTTGAAGTCGGTTCAAACGATAAACCTTCTTGGAGAACTTTCATTTTATAAAATGTTGGTTAATGGGCAACAAAATTTTAACATTGCTTTTGCCGCTATACCTCACATCGTTTCAAACGACTTTTATGTATTTCATTTCACACGACCCATTATCACACCCACTGTATGACATTAACTTCAGCACTTTTTTGAACACCATGCGCCTCCTCGCATCCACCATCAACAAAAGTTTTCAGACTTTTCACGTGGGTGCTCACTGGTGCTTGTGGATTGCCGCCTCCTTAACGAATGCTCTTTAAATGGTGGTCGTGTTTATTCTCCCTCCACTACGAAATTGCCAGGATGGAGTGTTATCATTTGGATTGTAGAAAGTGTGCTTTTTTCAAAGAAGTCCAGTATTAACTTCCCGATCCAGAAAGAGTAACAGGCTTAGCTAACCCAAGGAGTGAAGGAGCACCGCCCTCGTGAAAACGGCATCTTTGGCATTTTTCATGTATTTGATCATCTCACCAACCAGTTAGATAAAAAAAACAGCCACTTAGGTAAATTCAAAGTGGAAAACCAATCGTAGAACTCGACGCAACTATCTATCGTTTCGATTATGCATAATTGCCAATTCCACTCAGAATGGAATCATGACGATGGTGGACACAAAGCTGCTTGTTGAGCAAAGACCAGTCGTGAATAACTTTCTTTCTTAATGACATTTATGCTAGGAGCTAGAATAGAGTAGTGATTAGTGATGCCGTCGATCAAGAAGCGAAAGCACTAATTCGACCCACGTCCCAACGCTCTCCTCCAACTCATGTGGGAACGTCTTAGCCTTGCTGTATCCAAGATTTTATGGAGAAATGACTCGATTAGTACTTTCAGATATTCATAAAGAAGATAAAATTCCAGTTTAAACAACAAGCAAATTGTTTGAATGCTTTTGTGGATGTTGACTGCTGTCAAATGAGTCAAATGCAAGAAGTACTGGAATGCAGACAGTACAGGTGATGAAGAGTCATGTAAAAAACTTACTCGGATACTTGGACGGTCCGTCTTCACGAGCTGTGCGGACCCCAGCACATATACCATTCGTTCCTTTCTCTCGCAATCGTAGCTCATGGATGTGGTCTTGTTCGAGCATGGCAGCGCATGCGAGTCTCATACCGTGATCTGTAAAAAACAACTGCAGCTGCAGGTACAGCTGATTAACTTTGTCTACGAACACGTCCGCCCAACGTGTAGGTGGTCGTCAAAGGAGACGTTTGCATTCTCTTGGAGTCCACTCTACAGTTCTCCATATGTCGTCTGTTCTTCTCATTATGTGACCGGCCGATCTATGTTTCGATATCGATGTATATTCTCCTCGGTCTCGAAGATGTGACAGATTTCGAAGGTCAGAGCTTCGCATTCCGGCTGCATATTGAGAGTGCCGGTTATATTTCAGAAGACATCGCTCAAGCGCATTGTGAGAAATGCGAAGCATTCTTGACTGAGTTGAAGTATTAACCCACTTCTCTGCAGCATAACAGAGCTTTGGGAGGACAGTAGAATTAAAGAGATGAGCGCGGATCTTCGGGTCCTCCAGTTGGTCGGTGGCTTCTTTGAGAGGCATGAATGCGGCCTTAACTGCTCTCCTTCTTCTATCTAGTTTCTCGTTCATGTTGTTTTCCACGTTCATTGATCGCCCAAGGTAAACGTACGAGGTGGTCTCTGCAATGAGAGAGCCATCCAATTCAATTTTTTCGCCTTCGCCCATGGGATTTCATGAACTGGGTCTTCTTTCGATTTATGCGAAGTCCGATCTTTTTTCCCGCTTCGTTGTGCTCGTTGGTCATCATTTTTGCTCCGTTAGTATTTCTTGAAAAGATGACAATGTCGTCGGCAAAACGAAGGTTTGACAGGAATTTTCCATAAATAGATACGCCTTTCTCATCCCAATCGAGTGACTTCATTATCCACTTCAGTGCTGCACTGAACAGCTTTGGCGATATTGTGTCGCTTCGTCGAACTCCTTTTCCTATAGGTATTGTAAGAGGCCGACGGAAAAGCTCCATTTTCCGATAACAGTCGGGCAGGGTCCTTATGTAGGACGGCTCCACTCCTTGATCGTCGAGCGCTGATAGGATTACATTCGTTTCGACACTGTCAAACGCTTTCTCACAGTCGACAAAGGTTAGGAACAGAGGCGAGTAGTATCCCCGACAAAGCTCGATGACCCTGGACACGGTTCGGATGTGGTCCATTCAGCAAAATCCTTGTCGAAATCCTGCTTGTTCAAGTTGCGTCTTTTCAAACGTCCTTGATATGCACGAGAGGATAATCTTCGTGAAGAGCTTGTAGAGTACACTAAACAATTATATGGGACGATAGCAACGAAGATCTCCTCGGTCACCTTTCTTGGGTAGGATAACCGTGCGCGGCGTCCTCCACTGGTCTGGGATTTTCTCCTTTTGTAGGTAGTCTGTCATATGATCTGCGAGAAGTACATGTAAATTGTGGCCTCCACCTCTAAGGAAATCGGCAGTGATATTATCGGGTCCTGGAACTGTGCCTCCTTTCAAGCTTTCTATTGCAACTCGAACCTCCGACGGAAGAATTCCAGGTGGTTTTTCTCCATCGGGAATATTAGGGCCCGGGACGGGGATTGTGGAACGGAAAAAGTTGGTGTAGAACGTTTTCGCTATTAGTTCCATATCATGGCGGGAAGTTTTGACGGTCCCATCTTCGGTCATCAGAACTGACAGCGGAACATTATAATCATACAAGCCCCGACGGCATTTTTTCTGACTGATTCTTTTCTCTGCTGCTTCCAGTATTTTTTTTGCTTGCACCGTTGTAAATCTACCAGCATCTTTTTCTCTTTTGCAGCTGGCATTTATTACTAGCCATGCTAAACGTATTGCAGTAGAATCAAGCTTCAGTTTCCTGCTCTTTTCGAGCAACTCCTTAGTAGTGATGGAGATGCAATCCGATCTCCCTGCTTGAGGAACTGATGTGAATTCGGCACAGCTTTTCAGTCTTTCGGCAAGCAGCTCGTAGTCTTCGGGCGGGTCCTATTTAATCTGCCAGCCACGTTTGGANTTGTGGCCTCCATCTCTAAGGAAATCGGCAGTGATATTATCGGGTCCTGGAACTGTTCCTCTTTTCAAGCTTTCTATTGCAACTCGAACCTCCGACGGAAGAATTCCAGGTGGTTTTTCTCCATCGGGAATATTAGGGCCCGGGACGGGGATTGTGGAACGGAAAAAGTTGGTGTAGAACGTTTTCGCTATTAGTTCCATATCATGGCGGGAAGTTTTGACGGTCCCATCTTCGGTCATCAGAACTGACAGCGGAACATTATAATCATACAAGCCCCGACGGCATTTTTTCTGACTGATTCTTTTCTCTGCTGCTTCCAGTATTTTTTTTGCTTGCACCGTTGTAAATCTACCAGCATCTTTTTCTCTTTTGCAGCTGGCATTTATTACTAGCCATGCTAAACGTATTGCAGTAGAATCAAGCTTCAGTTTCCTGCTCTTTTCGAGCAACTCCTTAGTAGTGATGGAGATGCAATCCGATCTCCCTGCTTGAGGAACTGATGTGAATTCGGCACAGCTTTTCAGTCTTTCGGCAAGCAGCTCGTAGTCTTCGGGCGGGTCCTATTTAATCTGCCAGCCACGTTTGGACAGGACTTCGTTCAGAATGCTCTCGTCGTGTACAGCTAGACTTCTCCCTCGTGGTCGATGAGGAGAGTTTTTTTCCAGCTTGCTGCTGAATCGAATCTTCGCGCGAAGAAGGCGGTGACCGGAACCAGTACAGAATGACGGGACTACTGATGTGCCAAGTAGGCACCATCTTCTGTTTGTAAGAATATGGTCGATCTCCGCATGAGTCATGCCGTTGGGAGACTCCCATGTCCAACGGCGGCTTTCTCTCTTCTGGAAAAGCGAGTTTCCATGGAAGAAACGTGCTGCTGACAGTAGTCCTGCGAGACGGTTCCCGTTCTCATTTTTTTCTCCTAATCCAAAGTTTCCGATCCTGTATTCGTTCTCGTTGGCCTTTCCTATTCTGGCGTTGAGGTATCCAACAACAAATTTATGATATACTTTATCATTGGGGACGACTTCCTCCAACTGATAGTAGAACGCATTTGATTCGCACTCATCAGCTGCGTCTGTCGGTGAGTAGCAGTTGATGATAGTGATCTTCTTATGATGCGACACTTGAAGACGGTGGACGGCTATGCAAGGCGAAAGGATCACGTATGAGTCGACGAGATGGACAATGGACGGGTAGACGGCAAAGCCTACGCCACCGCCATTTCGTGACGGGACCTTTTCTCCACCGATCACAAGGGTCCCGTTGTTTAGTTGGCGTATGCCGGTCTTCCTGATTTTTGTTTCTTGTAATGCGATCACATGAAATTTAATGCGATCTGCGGCTACAGAAAGGGTGTAAAGATCGGAGACTGTAGAGAGTGCTTTGGCATTATATGTGCATAGTAGGAAGCCATCTCCATGGCGTGTCGTGCGTGTGTTCTTCAGACCCGGTTCCAACGACGCATTGCGTAACCCGAGATTTTCTGGCCTCTCACCGGTCGTTTCGCCGCCTGACGACATAGACGTCGCCGAAAACACAGCGTGCGGCATACTGAGGCTGGCATATTGCTAGTCTTGCAACTTAGTCCTCACTGGAGTCCTGACGTAACCTTGCAAGGGCGTATCCAGGTCTTCACCGCGTTGTGGATCAGAGGCAGCTGTGTTTTCGGCGACGAATCCTTCGCTCGGTCTGGTCTTCCTACTAGTTGATTAGGAGAGATGTTAAAGCCGAAATCAGAAACGAAAGTAGGAATGTAAAAGTAACCGACGGCTCAAGGACGATGTAGAAGCGATGTAAAATAGCAAAAAATAAGTAAAAATGTGAATTTAAAATGTTTACTTTTTATTTTTTGCTTACTATAATTTTTACAGCAGGGTATTGAGCAAAATACAATCACGATGTTGCTAAGATATTTCCAAACCTTCGAACTTCATGTGTCTGCGGTAGGGAACGAACGCGCTACTGTCCTTTCCGGGGGTTAACGTGTTCACCACCACACCATGCGGGTCCTTCGTTTCGGCTTTCTCTCAGTTAGTTCTATAGGTCTCTGCCTTCAGTAATCACCTGTCACGGGACTGATCTGGAGAGCTTTAGCTTAGCTAGGTTCGTTGTAGATTTGGGCTCCATAGATTAGTCCCGCTGAAGGGTGATTGCTGATGGCAGAGATCGATAAAACTAGCTGAGAGGTAGGCAAAACGAGGGACCCGCATAGTGCGGTAGTGAACGCGTTCGTTCCAAGGCCGCAGACACCTGCGGTCCGGAGTTTTGCAATTATCTCAGCATCATTTTGGTTATAGTCCATATGATACGCTCCGGTTAAAAATTATAGTCGGCAGTAAATAAAAAGGTTAAAATTTTTTGAGAAATGTTTACCCATAACTCTAAAAGTCAGTTACCAGTACTTAGAAGATTGTTTAAAATTTCACTTTTATGCAAGATGATCTCTATATTCTTTCTATTTATGCAAGACGTTCTTCTGTATTTTGCCACTGCTGTCTGTGAACGGCTGAATCGCTAGTTACCTGTGAGAAGGATGAGCCATTGTTGTCTGGTTGGTTGACCACCCAGAAGCCCTTGCTTAACACCTTCTGGCTTTTAAATGGCTTAAGAAAAATTTGAATGTCAAATACGAAAACTTATGTTTTATATTCCTCAAGAGTTCCTAGTGAATTATTTGATGCCGTTACCGGGCGACATGAGAAGGTGGTTGTAGCATTGCGAAAGTACAAGAGAATTTTTTCTTTTCATAAAACTAATAAAAGTCGTTCGATCCTAGATTATTTGCCACTACTTTCTAGAAGATGACGGAAATACTAGAAAGGCACTACTCATTGACAAATTACGGTAAAATGAGTTTCGCATTGCTGATTACATCAATCTGATAAGAGCAAGCAATGATAAAGTGCAAAGAATGCTCGTCGATTTTTAACGTAAACTTAATTGAAATAAGTGCAAGCGAGATCAGAGTTTTCGAAAGCACTCTGGAAAGGTTGATGTTTAGACCATCTCGTACAAAGGAAGCAGAGAGAACTCCGGAGTTCCGACCTACACCGAGAATAGAAGATCAGACACCTTACAGCATGGACTAAGATGTCTAAAACTAGGTGATCCGGATATGTAATACGTTTTTAGGGCAACTACAGCACAAGTTCCATTCGTGACAGTGTTCTATAGGATGTTAAGAAAATACCAAGGAAACCATCGATTTTTCGGTAGGAATTCTTCGAACGTTGTCAAGTATTTTTGAGATTATTTTAGGGTCGTCAAAAGGCTTACCCTTTTGGTAAATGTTTACAGAGAAAATTGGTTCCAAATATACCAAATAAAAATGCGTTTTAGCTTATGAGGTAAGAGCTCTCGTGTTTTTTGTATGGAATCAAATGAATGTAATACAAGGTCGACCCACATTTTCCATGAATTCTGAGACATAATCGAACTGTCGACGATTAAATTCGTCCGTATTGCGAGCGAAGACGTGATACGACCTGAAACATGAACTATATCCCATTCAAGGGAAATTTCCATTCGACGCACCTATTGATTGTAGCAAAACATGATATATTACCTGCAAGCGTTTTTGCCTGAAGTTTCAGCTAAAACCAAGATTTCATAGCGGTTTACATCCACTGGACCAGCTTTCACTAAGCACACTGAGAACAGAAATGAATTATGGAAACGATTTGTAAACTCGCAAACCGTTCTTCTCAAGCGGAGAAAATATTACAGGATAAATTTTGTACTATAACCTCTACTAAACATTATTACAAAAACAGGTCAGTGTGAGAAGTTTCCGATAGGATACCAAAATACAGGTGTAAGTAAGCAGGGATATTTTTTATTTAGTTGCAAAAAATCCAACATGTATAAAGGAACTTAGAGCGAAACACTAATTTTCCAATCAAAAAAAGGCTCAAAAAAGGGGGAAAAAACCCAGCATAAAATTCGTTGGCACGTGGAAGCCTGAGAAAAATAGTTCACTGGGTGTTACTGTATAAAGAATTAACGTACTGTTGACATGATATTGGTCAGTATCAATTGCCAAAACATTTTTCGTCACATATGACATGCTACCATGCATCTGCAAAGCTTCTACACTCAGCTTCAACGATGCTAATGTCAAAATATTCAAAGCTAAATCTGACCTCGTGCAATTCATTTCCTTTCGAATCGTCTCTGTAAAACATATTCAGTTCAGCTGATCCATTCAGATATCGTCCAACTGCAATATTGAAATAGGTCAAACATCGAAAAACTTCCAAATAAGTGTGATTAAATGAAATCTTAAGATGAATAGCTGCAGCCCTAAAATTTTTACTTTCCAAGCCTACGCAAGCCGTTCCCTTTGATGTTAGAACCGTTCTTCCATTAGCCGCCTGCATTCTTTCGAGACTCATTATAGTTCCAAAAATCTTTTTGATAACGCTTGGATTCCCGTACATCTAAAAATTCGTTAACACCACTTAGTTAGTCAAGTAAAAGAAAATCTGTTCACAAAATTGACACACCTGAGTCCATGCTCCTTTCATCATGTCAATATTGTGAGGAATACACTGTGAACAGGTGCTAGATAATTCCGATGATTTAGCTGTTTTCGATCCATGAGTTCGTGAGCGGTTGAGGCCGATTTTTCGGAAATTGTTTTGCATTTTTACAATACCAATGTATACTGTGCCATTTTGTTGCTTACTCAATTTTAATAGGGCACTTTTGAAAGATCAAAAGTTAAACCTCTTCAGTGATTCCATCGTCTTAAAAACTCCTCGTTCAATAGTTTCTTCTTTGTTCTTAGAAAGAAGTTCCTTCAGTGCCCTTAAAACAAAATGTCTTATGCTTCCATTTCGTCCAAAAGTTAGCATTCCATTACCTTCTCGAATTATTGAGCTAACATGAAGTTGGTAAAATGGAAAGAACTTGAAGTAAGGAAGTGAAAATTAGAAGTTTTCTGCATTTCGTTTTCTACTTTAATATTAAAAAATGTAAATTCTGCCAATCTGAAGCATCTTCTCTTGTAACCGTTTATATTCACGTAGTGTTCAATTCGTGAGCGTCTTGAGGACAATCCTTACTTGAGAATATCTTACTTGAGAGTTTCTCTCTCCTCGTCGGTGAGTGTGCTTGCCTCACTGGATAGATTTATGCCGTATTTTTCTTTGAAATATTCTCTTAAATGTTCATCATTCGCAATTATGTCATCATCAGCGAACTCTTAAATACGTGGTATGTTGTGACATAAGGTTTCTCTCTGATTCTCCTCAACAACACAGGAATGCTTACGACGTTTGGGAGAATTCGCCGCACGATTTTTCACTCCTTTTGCTTTAGCCGTAAGGACCTGTAAAAATGGCAGCTGAAAATTAAAGACTTACAGGATTTTTTTCTGCAAAAAAGCAAGACTGGTGTCTAAAACAAACCCTTCCTCCAACAGTGTTGTCATTTGTGAGATTGTCGTTGTTTCCATAAGATGCTTTTAACTGCTTCATTTGCTCGTTGATGAGATCCTGCTGTTGTTTTTGCATCAGAAGCTGAAATATTACAAACCATCAAACATCTAAGTAGAAGAAACAAATAAAATCTTAATTTATTCTGTACTGAGTTGTTGAAAACAAACCGCAGCACCGGCCTGATGATCAATCATGGATTGCTGGTACCTTCGCTGCTGATCGAGATATTCCATTTGTTTCGCGCTGTACTGCGTTAATTCCGACTGATGGCGTGCAAGTTGCTAAAATAATAAGTCTCAGTTAGCACCCTACTCTTTGGAACATATCCTGGACGTAGAACCTTGCTTAAGGATTCATTGATGCCTAATGACACTGGTCAACTTACCGCAAGGTATTGTTGGTTACGAAGAGCATTTAGAGATTCCGGAGAACCGTTTGCACCAGAAAAAAGCATAGCTGCATTTGGCATGGATAGTGCTGCATTTTGCGACGTTCCTGCGCTGCTAATAAATCTCTCGTCAAAGTTTGGAGTTACGCCACCGGAATTCTGAATGGTTTGAATTAGGTGTTGTTCACTTCAAATCGATTTACGATCTGCTTAAGTACCACAGTACAGCAGAAAAGAAGACCTAATAGTTGCTTCGAATATTCAAAGATATTGGAAACCACTACAGAATTTGCTCAAGTTTGAGCACGGTAATCAGCTGGCTTAAACATCCTTGAGTTCGGTCGCAGGGTTCATTGCCGGTGCAGGAAGCGCCGCCGTCCACCACAGCTCTGTTGGCATTGCACGGAAAATCAGACCCGAAGGCATTTAACGCCACTAAGAATAAGGTATTCGGTAAAGTTATAGGTAATATAGGTACGAATACCAGGATCCACGACCGACTTGGTATCAAAGTCGCATGGTTTTAAATCTCCTTCTGATCCACAAGGGCTGCGACTGCCTGTCCTGGTGACGACCTGGGGCAGACTTCGGCCAGGCTGTCCTCGGATTCCAAGGAACCACAATGGCTTAACCAGCAAATCTCCGAGAAATGGTGACTATGCTGGGGCCCGCACAACAGTGATGACGAGCCGTTCAAGCATCAAGTAAGTAAGTAAGAACAAGGTATAAAAGTCTACGACACAACCGACGGAAACTGTTTCAGATTATGTGCATGCAACACCAGATTGGTCCCTTTAGATTATGGCCTTCATATCCTATTAAATGACGCAAGCCGCATTAAATATGACCCCTTCAAGAAACTAAAACAGAAAAGTTATCACCCGGCGGATGCACTACTGAATCCTTGTCAACTTAAATGAGGTATCTTCACGGCTTAATGCTGATGATGTTACTTTTGTCCTGCATCCATTCTTTACCAAACGCCTTGGTTTTAACGAAATTCTATCTTCCCAATATGTATCCTGCAACCTGCAACTCCTTATTGGAAGAAAATAAGCACCAGTAGATGATTTCATCAGTATCAACAGCTTATGATGAGGAATTCGACAGGACTTGTGAAAATTTGGCTCAATTCGAACGTGACGAGATATTCTTCCACAAATTCATTATTGGTGGATTGAATGCGAAAATAATAACTTCATAGGAACACAAATACAAAATCGGAAATTTTGGAACGGGATATGTTAATGAAAATACAAATCTTTGTGAGAAAACATTTCCTGCGCTCTTTCTTCCATGAAAACTCTTTCTGATCATCACTGCTGTACGTCGGAATTCCCAAATAGCACTGGTTCATGCAAAGACCGATGACATCACCGCTTTCCTGTTTGCGCAGATTTTCTTTAACTGTTTTGGATGAAGGACAAGCTCTATCATCACATGAAAAAAAGCGAAAACGCTGGCTGTTTTCAAGAATTCACCTTCATTGATGTCATATCTAACTACAACTTACGCAAAAGTGAGGAGATGCTGCTGAAACTGAATCTCCGAACCTGTATTGGGTAAGCCCTTCATTATCCCGAGACAATCTCCAAACCTTTGCCAAGCCAAGGAAAGCGAATTTTGAAAGAAAGAAGATGCTTACGCTTCCAATGTACACACATCGACCGAATGGTCATCAACTCTAGCTGAAGAAAACCAATACAAGTAAGTGAACAGCCACTGATGCCGAAGGTATTTTAAAAATGGCACAAAAGATGAAGCATTAAATAAATGCCGTCTTTCATGCGTTTAACATTTCCTTTTCTAAGCTGTTTGATGGCGACTTATCAGCTGCGTTTTTTGGTTTCTAGATGAAATAAATTACAGAAATAATAAATTATAGGACATCTTCGGATACACAGCACCTGCGATCAGCCCTATCATCTTTGCTGGAATAATACACTAACAATTTTTTTGCAAAGTTAGAATAGCATTCGGGAGCTTTAAGCTTGGCACACCTATCGACCAGTTAATTATTGCATTTGACGCATCTGATTTGCAGTGATTAGTACCGGTCACCTAGATCTGTTAGTTCTGTTAGTTGCAACAGAAAAAACATCACCGCTGTCTAACTACTGAAGGAATTTTCGAATGACAAGAGATGACCAGCGTAAATATCGTCTTATGAGCTTGCACAACGTACTTCATACGGATCTGTATGCTTTTCGCAATAAATTTTACTGCATAGAACATATCACCTATCACGCGGATCAGTTGTACCCTTTGATCGTCAAGCGATTCTAGTGGTCACCAGTTAACGTTTCATTTCTGCCTATCGCGTGCAAGGGCAGCCCAGTGAGTTCTGCTCGCTCTAGGGCCTCGTGGAGCATCACATTTTTTCTATAAATCTTTTATAAAAACTCTGACTATTAGGTCTTCTTGGTGTACACACCCCGAGGAATCCAGTTAGTAACGGTTCTTCTCCATCTCATGTCGTTCATCTAAATTACATGTCCTGCCCGCTTGATGATCGTCCACAGTATAGAACATATTCCCTTCTTGACCGTTGACGTAGGTCGCAGTCTCTGAACCCCTTGCTCACTTGTGTGATACATAATACTCTTAGAATCGTTCTTTCGACTGGGCATTTTATGACATTGAGTGATCATCATCCTGTCTAGGTAGCGATCAGGTTTCTGATGAATACATTTAAGTAGAGGAAATTGTGCAGTCGAAGAGAAGGGTACAGAGTTCGATGTTCCTTTTTCTCCTCACTCCGCCTTTGATGCTCTGAAAAGCTCCTCAAGCCGCCCTTTTTCCCGTGATCAACTGTGGAGCCAACTCCTTTATTATGCTGAATTTCAATCTTTCCACAGGCGTTTTCAAAATCGGCAAGCATTCGTTCCGCTCGGCTAATGTTTAGTTTATAAGAACGCTGTCATTAATAAACCAAAAATGATGTAATTGTCTACCATATCTACCACTATGAATTCTCACTGTAATGTTGTCGAATTCCAACGTTCGCATGATACTTTCGAAGATAGCCGTAAATTATTTTGAAGAAATTGTATCGCCTGGTCTAAATACTTTTTTGGCATCGATGCTAATGTCATTATAGAATGGTGAGATTTCGGCTATGGATTTTTTATATAACTCGCGAAGAATCTTTGTGTACTGGGCAAATACGCCATGGCAAGATTTCGTAGACGGCAGACAGCAAGGAAATTGGGCGGACTGTTGCCGATATCTTGGAGTTCGCCCTTCTTGGACAATAACACAATCGTGTTGTTTCTTCATTAAATAGGAATCTTGCATTCTGACAGCTAATGCGTGGAGAGAAGAGCAAGTATGTCAATGAGGATTGGCGGGAGGTTCTTCAAGTGTTCAGGTACTATTCTATTCAGAGCAGGCGTTGTTAGATTCTTCATCGGCAAAAAAGATGTTGAATTTCGGAAGAGAGAGCTGGTAGAACAACATACCCGTCCTTTCTTACTTGCTACGAAGGCACAAGGACACGATTATTGAAGAGATCCGAGTACTAATCATCAACGATTCTTTATTAACTTTTCGGAAGCTGTAACTAATCCTTTTGGAAGTTGGAATGCAACCATCTTGATTTTATAATTGGCGAACTTCGTTAGGCTTTGCAAATGCTTTCTCCAGTTTTTGCAGCTTCGCCCGCCCATAGCTGTTGCCTTTCCATCTTTAAGACCTTTGATCGCCTACCGACACTTTTTTTTGCAACTTCAAACGTTAGTTGGTGGTTGCCTGTGTCTCGGACATCCATGTTGGCGTATCCAAGCCGAGGGTTTCTGGAGACAAACGTTGTTTCATGACTTTCGAACTACCAGCTTCCATTGCTCTAACGTGACGATGTTGAATGAGCCGATCGCATTCCTTCTCAGTGTTATCAACAACGTCATATACCAAGAGCAGACTAATGAATTAAATAAACTGGTGTTTATGGTAGTTGTGGTGCTTCGTTTTTTGAACTTACCGCCTTTTGCTCCTTTCTGCGAGTAAAGAAATCTCACACAAATGAGGCGATTGTCTGATCCTGTGTTGAATTTTGGGACAATAACGACATCAGTTGGGCAGTACCATTCATTTACTATGATGTGGTCTATTTCGTTATGGTGCTCTTCACTGGAAGACTACCAGATTCATCGTTGAGAGTGGGGCTTCCGGAATTGCGAGTAGCAGAACGTCCGAAGAACGTCACATTAGGGCCCACGTATTGGAAAGGAACGAGCATGGTGAGCGGCTTACTGGGTTTACCTTAAGGGCCAGGACTTTCATGGGAGAGTCCAATATTCACTTTCAAATCGCTAATGATAGCCTTTAAAAATGTGTGGCCTTTTCTGGAGAAATTCTGCAAGTCCATATAGAACTCCTCAACTTCTCTTTCGCCATAGCTTGGTATCTGTGAGTAAACGACCAAGATTGTCAATGTCGGTATTGATCCACTACTATTTAGCCGCAAACATTCAGTTAGAGTTACTAATTATAATTAATAATAATTGTCCTAATAAATCCATTTTCATGGCTAAACATGTGTTGACGTAAAATTCTCGCACCGATTACTCCTCTATTTTCGAATGTTCCGAGGAACAGTTCTTCTCCGGTGTCGTAGACGGCGCTAAATGCTTGAATGTTGAATAGGCCGCGTCTTCTCGTCTCAGCCAGTCCGATGAGGTCAGGTTATCCTTCTAGCAGCCATGATCAAGCATTCTATCGAGGATGAGATGCAAGTGTGAGTTCATGGCAAGTGCAGATCGTCTTTGCGATTCAGGCAGCATAGAATGGTCTTGAGATTTTAGCAGCCTCTTCATGCACGTCTTACACAACGCTGCCGTTTAGTGATCTCCTTCGAAGATAAGGAAATAAAGCCTGTTTACTTTACTGTATTTAGCCTTCTGATACCTACGTATAACTTTCTGAAGCCTGTACGTTAAAGCTGAGTACACTCACGAGTAGTTTGCCAGTCTCTCCCAAAGTAGATGGGGGGGGGGGGGGGGGGGGGGGGGGGGGGTTATTTGTTGGAGGTGACTTCTTACCTCCTCCTCCCATATACTTCGCTGTTACTTGATTAAAGCTTTTGACCGAACTGACGAGTAAAATGCAATTCTCATAAGTGAGAACACATTCACGAACGCATGCATGAACACTAAACACAGAAGGGCTCCCAACGGTTCACTGCCTCATCGTGGCTGACAGGTATTCTTGGGTGTCGGGCTGCAATGTGCAAGGGAAGATTCATCCCCCCAACAGAGTCCCCTTTACTAAGAAGGAGTCCGACATTTGCATCGAGAAGCCCAGATAAGAGTAAACCAATGCCAGAATCCACCACCGTCCTAGTACTAAACTAGTTACATGGTGGCAAATCTTCCTCTGATCCACAAGTGCAGCAACTCCCTTTGTTGGTGAAGAACTGGGGCAGACTT